GACACCTGCGGTCCAGAGTTTTGCAAATATCTCAGCAACGTTGTGGTTGTATTTCGCTTAATAACCTGCCGTGAAAATTATAGAAGGCAGAAAACAAAACGTTAAACATTGTTATTGAAGCGTTTGGCCTAGTAGATTGTATATCAGTATACCCTTCCAGGCTCTGAAGAAGGCGATACTGCCGAAACGTCAGCTAGCGTTGTATTGTATTGTGCTTTTCTATGGNGCGAAATACAACCACAACGTTGCTGAGATATTTGCAAAACTCTGGACCGCAGGTGTCTATGGTGGGGAACGAACGCGCTATTATCCTTTCCGGGGAGTAACGCGTTCACCACCACCAGCTTAACTGGGTTCTATGCCGATTTGCGCTCCCCAGATCAACCCCGCTGACGGGTGATCGCTGTGGCAAAAAGATCGATAGAAATAGCTGAGAGACGTGCGAAACAAAGGACCCGCATGGTGTGGTGGTGAACGCGTTACTCCCCGGAAAGGATAATAGCGCGTTCGTTCCCCACCATAGACACCTGCGGTCCAGAGTTTTGCAAATATCTCAGCAACGTTGTGGTTGTATTTCGCTTAATAACCTGCCGTGAAAATTATAGAAGGCAGAAAACAAAACGTTAAACATTGTTATTGAAGCGTTTGGCCTAGTAGATTGTATATCAGTATACCCTTCCAGGCTCTGAAGAAGGCGATACTGCCGAAACGTCAGCTAGCGTTGTATTGTATTGTGCTTTTCTATGGAAGTAAATGTATGATGTTTAAAAACCTCGCGATTGCTGAACAAGAAAACGACACATTCATATTCCAATGCCGAGGTTAAGAGAAAGTCGATCCTGGGAACTATCACAATCTTAACCTTTTTATTTACTGCCTTTTCTTTTTAACGGCAGCGTATCTTGCGAAATATAACTACTATAATGGTGAGATATATTTACATATGAAAGATCGATAAAACTAGCTGAGAGACAGGCGAAACGAAGGACCCGCATGGTGTGATGGTGAACGCGTTACTCTCCGGAAAGGACAATAGCGTGTTCGTTCCCCACCGCAGGCACCTGCGCTTCGGAGTTTTGCGGATATCTCAGCAATATAGAAATTATATTTCGCAGCATACTCTGCCGTTAAAAAGAATAGACAGTAAATAAAAAGGTTTAAGACTAACATCCTTGCCTTTTTTCGCTTCATTTTTATGGAATTTTCAGTTTTCACTTCAGGATTTTGCCTCCCTCATCTTTCTTGTAAGATTAGCTGGAAATATTGATAAATAGAAAAAATATACTGTAGTGGTTTACCTTAGTGCATATAGAAAAGCCGACGAGCATATAGAAGGAGAAGAGACATGCTATGAACACCTTACGATTGTGTTTGATGATCGGATACTCATCTGACAAAGCCGTAATGATCGCCTCTGATCCACCAAACTAAACTTTTTGGTTTCCGAAGGATTTGTTCTGCTGAATATACTACACTATTCAGGAAATACTGTTCTTTAAAGTTCCATGAAATTCTACCCTACCACAAAGTTTTCTTTTGCCACGATATATTTTAAATTTTGAGAAGTCGTTCAGGGAAAGTAATTGTTGTCGCGTTCCCCATTTATATTCGTGACTCAAAATATCGGACTAAAAGGTGCTTAAAACTCACTGAGCTGTCTAGACCAAGTGTCATCAGCATAAGGAAGAAGAGAACGGACCATCCTGGAGCCCAAGGCATTGTTGCCAGTGCTTCTGGATAGACGACGAACACCAAGCCAGGTCCCTCTTGAGCCACTGCGTCGATTGCCTTGCCACTTTTACACGACATATACCCCAGTACCTGTAACATAATGTCGACTTTCGTCATAATAGAGCTTTTAAAATTTTTGAAGATAAGACCGCTGCAGCTGTAAAGCGCCTAATCTGTTTTAGTTGATCACATTTCACGATCCTCATGTCTAATGGTATTCGACTCCTGCGTGGAAAACATATGCTCCAACGGTGAACTGGTAATGAGGAGAAACTGGGTCTAATATCTAGACAACTTCTCTGACACACAGAAGTAAAACAAATTATTGAATTCCTTTCAAGTAAGACATTTTGAACTGGTTTATCCGCATTTGAGAACTAAAGTGGATCACCTTGTTTGGGCACAGAAACGAGTTCTCAGTCGATGGTGCATCGGAAGGACTCATGCCTTCCGTGTACATGTCATCCTATGTTATATATTCATAAGTGCTCCCATTTGGCCAAGGATTATCTACTGTGCAACGATTGGGTGAAATTCATGCAATTAAGTGACTGGAGTGCAAATACAAAATAAGTGTTTCTGGATGGATCACAAAACCCTCTAATGTGCTCTGGAAGGCCCAAAAGGCTATCCACGAGCATATGTACTCAGCGCTGGAACCTTAGCAGGCATTTCTTGAATAACTCCTCGCTGAAGGTAAGAATGAATAATTGAGCATTAATGGAAGCAAACTGAATGTACATTTGTATGTATACCGCAACATTTAAAGGCATGCAGATATATTAAGTCAATGCACTTTATTCTCTCATTCCTGTCTGGTACGTATTTGCTTACTAAAACGGAAAGGTGGAATGCTTGTTTAACCCAGGAAGGGTGATTGCATGGTTTGTATGTCGCAAGGCACCTATAACCTACACTGTCAGCAACGGGAATACTGCCGTGAATCTCAGTAAACAAAACTTTAAAGTTAAGTAGTAATGATGAAAGGTCTTATTCTTTTGATACAAAATGGGTTCTCAATACGGTAATACATGGAGCGATAAGCACAAAAACACTGCTAAAATCTGAGGAGCGAGTCAGATTCTCTAAATATGGAAAGATTTAGGTAGAGATCTTGGCACAATCCATTTAGCTTGTGGTCGAAACCCTCCATCGAATACTTCCTGATTATACGTCTGGCCGAAATTATGAACGCCTCTCAAACAAATACGATTTAAGACATTTGACAAGGAAACGTTGCTTGAAACATGAGGTAGTAAATGGTAATCACTACTAGTTTAACCAAGAATGTTGACTGACTAATTTAACTAACGATCCGAGTAGCAAGCTAACGGTTAAAAAGCTTTTGTTCATCATCGACTTCAACATTTTTCCGTACTCAACGACATGAATACCATAGTGGGGTGAGAGTGCAGTACTTTTGCACAAACTGTGTTAAAATCCACAGAGTCGTTTTATAGAAACATCGGGGATTCAACACCAGTACTGGGACTAAGAGAAAGGCAAAAAACAATTACGTTGCAACTTACCGAAAAAATCACGAACCCTGATAGAAAACTGGTTCCGCAATTGATGGCGCTTGTGATGAGAGCATCCCTGAACACTCTTTGCTTCAGAAAAAATCCGAGCTTATGGAATACTGACTGGTTTAAGAAATGTTTTCAATAAAATGAAGTTGTGAAAATCATTGTTTCTCACATTTTCCTTGGATAATTATAACGCAGATGTCTGCTAATGAAATAAACGTTCTTTTATTCCTCTTCCAAAATGGGAAATCTAGTTTTTATGGATGCAAAATTCATGAGATTTTCAACAAGACCACAAAAACACAATTTGGCTACATCGTATGATATACCGTTAAACCTCTATAACTCGATTTTCTGTTCTATTCAACCCACATGTAAACGTTGTTGTGGAAATCATTGTAGGATGAGTAAGCCATGAGAACGCCAAAACCTGGACCCAACGAAAAGAAGACCTGTGTTGCAGCATCCTGCCAGACCGATGGATTCTAAAATTATCTTGATCTTCCCCGTTACTCTTGTCAACAATAAATCCTTAAACTTCTTGAAAAGGCGGCTTTTTTGAAGTTGTGCCGAAACCAAGTGATATTCGAGGCGAATTATTCTAAGACTTGACGGTGTTGACGTCGCTTTTGAGGTGTTGTCTAATCGAAATTTCCATCAGAAAAGAAAAGAAAACGTGAGAGCATCAGCAAATGTGTACCTACGGAAAGTGTAAAAAATGTGTATTTTTATCCACCACCTGAAAGTGTTCTCAATTCTTTCGTCTTTGGTCCCTCATTTTTCATGTCTGTATTCACCTTCTCGTATAACTTCCACTTCAAAGCATCTGAATCTTTCACACTGTACGCAGGATTCGCCCTGATTTTTCTACCTTGTCATCGACTATATCACCTTCAATCGGTAGGTCCACTAATGCCAGAAGAGCTCCGAGCGCTCTAGTAGGATATCATTACATTCTAAAGAAAACAGTTCGCAGCGAATCTCCAACATGTCACTCCGTAAGCTGTAGCTGTAATCACGTACAAAACGCACGACCTGCATGGATGAAAAATGTGAGGCAAGGAACCAAGCGGAAAAGACACTTCTCACCAGTGGAAGCTCTGCGCAGCTTATCTCCAGCAGAAAGTGCTAGACCTACAGAAAACGACTCTGAGAAAAGCGAAATGTGCTGAAGTGTTAGCTATCGTGGAATAAAGACTGTAACAACAACCTCGTTTCTGGTCAGGAAGGAGACATTAGCTAATGTTTAACGTGCTAGCTCCCACTCGAGCTGTGAAAAAGGTCAATTAGGTACTTAAATAGGGATAGAATAAAGTGATAAATAAGAAAATACTGAAATTCAGCATTTACCCAACCTTGAGCATTTCGATATTAGGCCGCAGATAGTAGTCGATGCCCATTTCGGATCCTGGCAGTGTGATTCCACGAATGAACAGCACGCCTAACACGACGTACGGAAAGAGTGCCGTGAACCAAACAACCTGTAAAACCTCATCACAGAGGCAATATACAGAGTCAACTCTTTGTCAGATAAAACTGGAACAGTCTGTGGAGCCAGTATTCAATTGTGATACCAGACAGCTTAAAGCACTAGCGAAGCTCACATCACTCATTTAGTATATGATATGCCAAACTGATACATTAGAGATGTTTGGAAGAGACATAAATCAACATATGAAAAGAAATAAATCCTAAGAAAAGAACTGCTGAAGAAATATTTTTGTAAGGAAGAAAGCAGAATACATAAAAATCGCAGAAGACTTCACTCTGCGATAGTTGATCGTTTTCTGGGCTTCATATACTCATCGTATTCAACGGTGAACTTTCTTGGGCACCTCATTAAGCAATTTTCAATTTCCTTTATCAACTCGTGAAATCAATTGAATGGAGCCGTCCTACATAGGAACTTTATCTGACCGTTATCGCAACTGCAACACTAAAATACAGTTCTTCAATCGACTCCCTACCATACCCATAGGAACAAGGGTTAGGCAAGGCGACATCGTAAAGTCTCTCGATTGCAGTGGAAAACGCACGCAGGCTGATGGAAAGTTGCTGTGAAACCTATGCTTCGTTTGCGATATCGTATTCTTCTCAAGGAGCACCAACGAAGCATAGACGAAGACCAACGAGATCAACGAAACGGGAAAAGAGACCGGACTACGCATAAATTGGAAGAACTCATGGAACGAGGGTGAACAAATCGAACTGGGTGGTTCTCTAATTACAGAACCCACCTCGTACCTGGGCTACATCCGGTCCTCTCGAAGAAGCCACTGACCATCTAAAGTACTCGGAAGTCAGCACTCACCTTTGCGATTAAACATTGTTCCAAGCACTCTGTTATGCAGGAGAGACGTGGGCTGATACTTTAACCACATCAAGAAACTGCACATCACAAGCACTTGAACGATGTCTTCTCAAATTTAACCGGCACTCACAACGTCTAGTCGATATTTGCAGCTGAAATCTTTGAAACCTGCCCCATCTTTGGAATCCAGGAGACTATACAATAGCGAAACACAGATGGGGCGATTTTATAATGAGATGAATAGGCGACCGACATTATGTTTTCAACACTCTCAGCTTATCTGGGTTCAATGCGGATTTGTGCTTCCCAGATCAGGCTCGTTGACGGGTGATTGCTGATGGCACGGTTAGGATAAAACGTTGGCCGAGAAAAAGTCAGAACGAGACCTCAGTGGTGTAGTGTAAGCACACGAGCCTCCGCAAAGAGTAATCACGGGTTCGAACTCAGTCTGGGGTTCAAGTACTGCAAATATCTCAAATATCTCTCCATAATTGTGGTTGTATCTTACATAACACCCTGCCATAAGAACTAATAAGCAGCAAACAAAAAGCTACATATTTTAAAGGCGACAGATGCACGAAAGGAACTGTACAATGGGTTCAACAAGGATACAGGAGTCTCCAAGGTCGACCACCTACAAGTTAGTCGCACGTGTTCGTAGCTAAAGTAAAACAGCTGTACTCGAAGCTATAGTTGTTTTACAGATCAAAGTTTGAGATTCGCACCCGTTACTATGCTGAAATCAAACCACTGCCATGGACGACGACAGTGTGGCAAAGAAACAAATTTAAAATGTGCTAGGGTCCGGACAACTCGTGATGACAAGCCGTCAAAGTGTCTAAGAATGCAACTAATTCATCAAGATCCACGTGAGACAAAATTTCAGAAGATTACTTGAAAACGTTCATCTACCTTCACAATGTGATTCTTTTTTATACTCCTCTACGATTTTTTCTGTCAGCAATGCCTTAACCACGCTTTCTCGACGTTCTTCATTGGTCGCTTGTCTCCTTCTCTAGTTGCACTTCAACACGCACCACTGAGGATTATTTTTAGATTAAAAGTGAAAATTCTGATGATTTTTAACGATTTTGTAGATTATATATGTGGATTGTGCTTTTTTGCATTCAAATCCATGAAGCAACATCGACTTCTTTATCTTACCTCACCTCTTTCAGTAGACGATGGTTAGCTGCTATCAAATGCTGCCTTCAGTAGCAATTCTTCTTGCTGGGCTGTGGAAATTTCGAGGCACGGTCTAGCGCAAAAAAAAGCAATTCCACAAATAAAGATGTCCTTCGGCTAGTTTTATCGATCTTTTTGCCATCAGAAATCATCCGTCAACGGGATTGATCTGGGGAGCCCAAATCGGCATTGAACCCAGTTAAGCTGAGGCTTAGTTATAATCACAATCTTAACCCTTTTATTTACTGCCTTTTTATTTTTAAAACGAAGGACCCGGATGGTGTGGTGGTGAAGTGCGCTGCTCCCCGGTATGGACAACAGCGCGTGTTCGTTCCCCACCGCATACACCTGCGGTCCGGAGTTTTGCAAATATCTCAGAATTATATGCGAGTTATATTTCGCAACATACCCTGCCATTAAGAGGAAAAAGGCAGTAAATAAAAGGGTTAAGACATGTCCTTGTCTAAAACACCAATTGGTTTTGAAACCGACCGTCATTTAACCTCGGAACTATACTAAACAACATGTGTCTATATTGTTGAACTTATACGATGTTGATATAGATGTTAGACGAGAGACAAATTATTATCAGCGGATAATGGTATCACAGCAGACGCCTTGTATAAAAGAGCGTCGCTAGGTGAGATACTTCAATCGTGCAGTGTTCCACCGAAGGGTGTCCATCACGGTACGACAACGAAGTCACCACATCGAGAAGAGGAACAACTGTGGACGATCGACAGGATCGTCGGCTCTGATGAAGACGAAGACGTCGAAACGCTAGCCATATAAACATTTCTATCAACCTTGTGTAAGCTCAACAATATAAACACACCGATTGGTGTTTCTCAATTGACCTGCGTGAGATTCCTTAGAAGTGCAAACCAACTTGAATACGAACGCAACTATGATTAAAATCGCTTAATAACCACTGATGTTAAGCAGACTGACTATGACCGCCGCTTTTTTTGTGAACCGAAATACATTGTTACAAATATTCATGCTCACCTTTCCGCTCATTCCAATTCCTTTCCATAGGGAAAAATAACAAATCAAGTACACAATCGCCAAACAAATCTAGAAATCAGATTTCAATAGATTTATCTTGAAAAATAACCACTAAATAACTTTGAAAGGTCGTTCTGTTGTTAGAAGACAATTTTTTAAACAGGGTAGAGGGCCATAATTAAGATACCTGGTAATACAGGCTGTCAGCTCCTCTACTCTCATGTGCTACTGATTAGAACTCTTCTAGCCAACTCAATCCTAGGTGATTCGAGCATCGTTTCGGTCACTGGTCTATTCTCACCTACACGTTTTCCTTTTTCATATACTTTTTCCATCCACTGTCGATAATTCATTAGACTTTTCACAGTATAGTGGACAAAATCGGACCAAACTTGTCTAGGAGGGTAAAACCGCTGATCTGATAGAACAGTCCGCCTAGGCAACTTACTGTATAAACGTGATATGTATTTAATCACCTCTAACGATACTTGATGAAGTTGAGTGCGTGGTGCATCTCTAAGTGATTTATCAACGCCGAACGTTTCAACGCTCTATGCTTCCAAACACTTTTACAAGTACATAATCGATTGGACTTACTGCAATTTGCCAGTTGATTTCTCCCAAACTGTCGAGACTCCGCGCTACATGGGATGTGGTGTCTCCAGGCGCATGCAATCCAAGAAAACCTTTGCTAGAAAGAAAAGCAAAGGCAGTTTGTCTTTCACCGTACTAGGCATCCAAATATTCCTTTACCCTTCAAGTTTCTTATACCATTTTTAGGCTTCCTTTGGAGAAGTCTTTTGCGAAGGTTTGTTTATATTATAACCTATGTAAAACAGACTTTCTAACTACATGCAGATGCATTTCACCCTAATTCAGATATTTCAGGTGACACTATAGCAATTTAAAGATTTTATGGACCGCTAAAAACATAAATAAGAAGTTCTTGTCTTGTCTTTTTTAACCAGTTGTCATCCTCCTTTGTCTATCACTGACGGTTTCAAGCAGCTATGTAGTTACGCAGTGAGTCCGCTAGTGGAAGCTCTTTGCAGACGATATGTGTGGGTTGGGGCGCTAATGGGTTTAGAAGAATCTGGCTACCTATAAGGGTATAAGTACAAAAACCTTTTGAGTGCATAAAATTACAAAGCTCAAGTGAGATGGAAATGCTGCACATGATTCGGGCTGGAGCCTTTTCTAAAAAATAAGCCTTAGATCTACTTAAAGTGGCATAACAAACTACGCGATTCCACTGTAACACCCGAGTGGTCTATACACGGACAACCTTTCGCCGAAAACAGAACAACGGAGTAGATGGTTAATTATTTGTTTGCAAGTTAAACACACGCAGTTGGACAACGTTGCTAAGTGAAATTTTTTGGTGTTTGAATACGATCTGTGTATGAAGCCTATGAAAGCATTTACTATTTGCATCACCTGTGGTCCAATTGTTCATTCAGTTTCTACTGGCTCATAACGCGTGCCTGGGGTGCTCAGTGGTCATCACTCGTTAGCGAGAAATGGGACCACCAGGCATTTAGCAGTGGGCCTTTTATTTTTATCCTCTTCAAGGCGAAAAAAAGTCTAGCTTAGCTCTTTAAGCTATTCCGAGGCAAAAGTTTCCACTTAGTTGCGCATTTAAATGGAAATTTCGAAACCTTTCTCAGATTGTGTGACCCTGTCGGGACGATAAATTCTCATTGTTTATCTCTAAGGTCACCTCACAACCAGAGGGTAAAGAAGACGGCTCATTAGTTATAAGCTATAGTGTTCTTTTTTGTTCCACATTCATTATAGACATGGCAAGAAACTACGGTGGGCACCAACTAGAAATACTCTTCAGCCGCTGAAATCCGTGACGAGTTGCTGACCACAGGTTCTCGGCATTTCGACGTCCCGTCGCTCCAACTGAAATCATCGATCACTGTCAGTAGTATTGTCGAAAGCTTCCTCTTATCATTATTGTGGCATTTCAAGTACAAGCCTTGCTCACTAATTAGTGACGCTTCTCTTCGGCATTTAGGTTATTCATTATGAAAATCAACTGAAATCAAATGTTTACAACTGCTTAAAAGCCTCTATTTAAAGTGAGGATTTCTTGTCATTTCTATGAATATTGTCATCATAACCCATTTTTGGCCATTTTTCATAGATTTCGTGAAGCCATTCACATAAAAGTTTGAATCCCTAGATCTGCCAAAGTCGTTGGAAGCATTTACGATTGCCTTTTTTTTTTTTTTTTACCATTTCTTGATTTTCCAGCCGAGAAATGAGTCGGACGAGGCAGCGTTTCGCATTGCAATTGGTTCAGCTTACTTCAGCTTTCGGACTAAAATGTCTGAAGCATTTTGACTATTGAAGGCTATTTTTCAACCACCCTCTGAGCACTGCTTCCTCTTGCCTACAACGCATCCCAGTGCTGTCATAGTGTCGTTATGTTTAGGAAGACACAGTGGTACACGCTGACTACTCTCCGACTACTAAATAGTGAGCTTCTTCTTCTTGTAATGCAAACTTGGTTTGGATAAGCGTTGTTTATCCACAGTAGCCCTCTACTATAATCCGTAAAAGCAGCTAGTTGTATATTCCCTGGAGAATTTTTTCGCCTATCATTGAAATCGTATGTCCACTTATTGATCTTCCAGGCTTTTGAAGCAACTGGACCTAGAATGAAAATCGTCCCCACGTGTATCCACAACTTTCGTGCTTGTTGTCTAACAGTTTTTTAATATTTGCAAGTATGATTAAACTAAAAAATGTGAGTAAATTAATAAAAGATTACAAGGGAAAATCTCGAACTATAAAATTACATAGAACACTCATTAAAAATTACAGCGGCCAAACGCCTGAAACCTTCACGATGTAAAATTGAACATATTATACTGATCATCCAACATCTAGATAATCAGTAAGTGCCAGTATAAAAATAAGAAAAACTGAATGGCCATACGAAGGAAAATCTCTATGTCTTACTGCGGTTCGTAACAAGCCGGACTGTTGTAGGAGTTGTTGCAGTTGGCCCATGGCAGATTTATCGAGAATGAAGCGTACAGATAATGCAAACCCCATGCGATCACCACATTGTAGAAGAAATCCGTGTAGAACGCAATCATAATCACACAATAGCCGATACCTTTAGAAAAAAAGAAGACTTAGGAAATAATCGAAAAACTTTCATGAAGGCACTCATTTCGTTCTTTTCGAAAGGCCCATTTTTTCACTCAAGTCTGTAGGATTTACTTAAGGAGAAAGATATACGAACAAATTCTTTCAAGTTAGCGTATTACAAACGCCAAAGGAGGCTGGAGCCTTTTCTCGGTTCGAAAGGTGATAAAACATAGAAACGAGCAATGGACGAGCTTGATTTGAAACAATTCATAACTAAAATACCAGAGAACTTAGGCAAGGGAAGCGCATCTTGAATTTAAAAGGTAGAAATACCAGGTAATCCAGAAGCTTCTGAACCAGCTTCTAAAAAAATACGTAGGAACCTAACCCTTTTACCTTTGAAAGCTACTTTAAAAAATTGGCACAAATTTGCACACTTCAAAAACTGGCGCAGTAATTCCGAATTTCATTCATTGCTCTTCTCCATTTCCACTCGTCTATTAAAAAAACATTTGCTTTACCCGTAAATGGTAAACGTCGTACCTTTAAATAGTGGGCAAATTCGTCCCCATGTTGTGATCGCTCCTTTGCGATAGTACTGACCCAGTGAGAGTTCCATGTAAAATAATGGGATACCCGCTAATAACACCATCAGTGAGTACGGTATCAGGAATGCCCCTGAACAAAACACAGCTATTCCCAGAAGGCATGCGTGAACTCACACAGTATTTAGGACTGATATTTTAGTGTGACACTATCACATATTATCTAACCATGTGAACTCTGTGCGGTTGATCTCCAAGTGAAATACCTAGTGGAATACGTATAGAAAGTGGTGAATGTGCCAAGAAGCTAATTTGTTTTCAGTATGGTTGGGTTGTAATTTTCGTTTAGTTCCCGAGATTCTTGCTGGGCAAACACGAGGTGTTACTTTATTCTTTCTCCCTTTAAAGCTGACCTTTAGGCAATATCGCCTTCTTCAGAGCCGTTTATTACGTGTCTTCCACTGTTCTTCCTCAGTGCTTCCACTGAGTCTGAATAAGGTGATACTGCTGAAACTTCAGCTCTAATGGAATAAAGAATAAAGTAACACCTCGTGTTTGCTCAACAGGAACATCGTAAACTATTTGATCAATGCCGAGTTTAATAGAAAGTCGACCTTCGTTTAGTATTTCAACACTAACTTTCCTTTAATCTCGGTATTACTAATCAACGTGTATTCGTTCTTTCACAAGCTTACGCGAGGCTGATAAACAACTTTTATTCGGCTAACGTTTCGATGTCTTCGTCTTCACCAAACCCGATGATCAGAGTCCGATAGTCCACGGTTCTTCGTTGACCCGATGTGACGTCTTCGCCTTCGTATCGAGTTGGGTCTTTCCTCAGCGAATCATCTCCTCAGCGAATGAGGTATGCTTAGTCGGTGATGCTTTTTTATACAGAATACTGATGGCTAATAGCCGTGATTGTCCGATGATAATAACTTGTTTTTTCCGAACAATTCATCCCGCAGAAGTCGGTAACATTATCAGCTAGCAAAGAGCATAACAGTATTTCAAAACCGACTTTCCTTTAATCTCGGTTTTACTAGCCAATATGTATTCTTTCTTTCACAAGCCTACATGAGGTTGATAAACAACTTTTATTCGGCTAACGTTTCGACGTCATCGTCTTTACCGAAGCCGATGATCCGAGTCCGATAGACCGAACCGAGACGAAGAAGAATCTCTTCAAAGGTTACCAGCTCATTTGAGGAGCAACGGGTGAGGATTGAAGGTGGAGTTTAGGTTGCTTTTGAATTTATAAACATCGGCATGCCTACCCTTAAAAGTGCACTTTGGGTTTGAAGAAAGGGTAGGCATTTTTAAATGCCCGATAGTTTTAAGATTTGGTTATCTTTTATACGATTAAACGATCGAATAGTTGTTAGATATTCTTGCTGGCAAGCCCCATATTACGCTTTAAGCGTATTCGTTTGAGAAGCATTTGAAGTCCTCCCAACGGTTTACCGCCTCATAGTGGCTGGGAGGTGATCCTGGGTGTCGGACTGCGATGTACAGCGGGGGTTCATTCCCTGGCAGGGTCTACCAAGCTGAGAAGGAGTCCAGCGTTTCCATCAGGAAGCCCAGTTAAGTGTAAACCAATACCAGGATCCACCACCGTCCTGGTATCAAAGTCGAATGGTGGTAAATCTCCCTCCGATCTACAAGGGCTTCCACTGCCCGAGGTGGTGAAGACCTGAGACAGACTTTGGTCAGGCTAACCTCGGGACTCCAGTGAACCATAATGGCTTAACCAGAAAATGTCCGAAAAATGGAGATTACGCTGGGGTCCGCACAACCAGTGAGGACGGGCCATTCAAGTATCAAGTGAGTATTTGAAGTAAAATATCAATAACAGCCTCCAAAACTTTTACCTCCTCCATTTTTGAAGCAAAGGTAGGGAAATCGCCATATATTTGCCAAATCAACGGCAAATCCAACAACTGACAGCAAGAAGTCCACCTGAAAAATTGGTTTTTTTTAGAAAACTGTGCACAATAACGTTATTGACAATGTTGCGCGAGAGGAAATAACACGTTCCCCAAGAATTTTTAACACTTCGATATCCTATTTCGATTAGCTTAACAAATCGTTTAGAAATGGCCGTTGCTAGAGGGCTGATAGTCCTGTAGTAGTGTCCAACACGAGTAAAGCGCTGGGTGATTCGACGATAACCCACCATTCCACTATCCTTTCAGGGCTTGAAATTTGGTACCAGAGCAGTTTCGGATCATCTTGTTTCTTCCATTCCCCAAAATATGGCGCACGCTTGCGCAGGTCTGATGACTATCCTAGTAATCGAAGAAGAATCGTTCCGCCCAACATTCAACGACATTAAGAAGATCGAAATTTCTCACGTATCCGCTGAACTCCGTTCAAAAAGTTGAAAGCCCGTCGCACGGCATAACTGCGAAGAAACTGAATGAAAGGGAGAAGTGCATGAGTGCGCACAACATGTGATGTTGGTTCGTGCATGATATCTTTTAAAAAAAACACTCTGTTCCACAACGGCTATCGATTGCTTATGCCGTCGACCTGAAAGCGCCATGTAGTGATCAGATCATGAGTCCCAAGGATGTAATGGATACTGAAATGAAAGCAACATGACTACGACGTCCGGTGGACACATTTTTTGCTCCACACAAACTGCGCCAGTAGCAGTGCTGATAGGCGTCCCCGATCTTCACTCAATTTCCCAGTTCAGATTTCACGTGATCGGTCACAAAAATCTAAAGATGGAATGATTCACACGGCGAATTAAATGTCAAATCTCTGTTATTCGCAGAAAAATGTTTTCATCACGGAATGGAAGTGGTGAAGGTTTTAACGTTTGCCTATCCAGTCCTCATCACTTTGACTTATTCGACATCCATTTTTCTCGTTTGGCCATCCTACTTCTCCAGCTCCTACAGCGAAAAAGAAGACAGGTATTGCCAACCGTTCACAGCTCAGTGCAACTTGGTGAAGGCGAATTAAGCGTTAAAGGAAGTAATTTGCAACGAAAAGTCGTTTAGCATTCTTAGAGACTTCAATACCAGATTAGAAAAGGGTGATGAAAATGGATGTGGATTAAAAATTTTAAGTCGAAATCAAAATGAAAACCACCACCAGGACTCAGGTTTACGAAAGGTCTCTTTCATGAATATTCGTTCTTTGAGGTGAAGAATAATTTCCAGTTGGTGCACTGCCTCCACTTTGGACACCGTAGTGTTCAGGGTCGTGGTAATATGAAAACTATGATGGTCTCCGTGTCGTCCTGGGCAGTAGGGCCTTCAGAGCAGCTCTGGTGTGCCACAGCGACGAATGATGATTTGGTCGACACCCGACTCAGTGCTTCGTGCTAAGGAATATTGTAATATCAACGTTGGTCTGCTAGAAAAGAAAGACGCCGATGAAATGCGTAGCTAGACAAGGGAGTGAAATAATTTTATCGCAGCTCATTTCTCAATTGAAGTACACCGATCAAGGTGGCCTTGACTATAAGTGGTGCGGAGGATCATGAAGACTGTTCCTTTCCAGTAACGCAGGAAAGCAATTCGAACAACTCGGACCTTCATCCTTCACATGTTTACGTATTTTTTAAAACTTTTTTCATCACTTACTGTCTCTGTCTGCACTCTCTGGAGGACAACTGAGTGCAGTCCTAATCCCCAAGAATGATTTTTTATGGTCAGCGCAGATCAATGCGGAAGTGTGTTTTTGATAAGAAGACGCAAGGGTGTTAACACAGTATTTATCCCACAGTGGCAAACATCTTGGCAGAACTCGCGTTTTCAAGAGAATGGGAAGGATCAAATTTAAGCACATTCTACTCACTCTAACACTTTTGTAACCATAACAGAAAAAAACTCAAAACCTATATTCCAGTTTCACGATAGCCAACTTCTTTAAAAAATTCGCCATTTTCTTGTGTTTCTTACACGTCTGATCAGTACGCCTGCGCAAGGTGAAAAATCCTAAATTGTGGGACGAGGTGGCTAGCGATCACAAGGCACTCCTCCCTGCAGCTCATTTCTGGGATTTTCGAATTTATTCGAAAAGTTTCAAAAGTATTACTCGCTAGTATTATAAATTTTTATATGAAAATAGTGTCTTTTAGTTTAAAATGGGTTCCGCAATATTTTTGTGCCCGTGACTTGTGGAGTGTTCTCTTCCACTTCAAGCTTCCCATTTGGAGCCCTTTTATGCGGAGGCAAGTGGGGTTGAGCGGTTTCACCAACATGCTTTTCGTCGAACGCTTTATAAAGCTCACATTCTCCATAAGAAAACTTATGCGACCACAACCTCTTTCATTAATGCAAATTGCGCAATTTTATGCTGCATAGATCATCATTCATGGGATTTCGAGCCAACTGACGACCTGGGGTGTTCCATGGTATCGCTACAAAAAACTAGGTTTTTAGCTTTTCCGCTAGAGTTTCACAAAACATAAGATTGAGTAGGATGGGTAACATTCCGAAGTTCTGCAAGATTAAAGAAAGATGAAGCGTGTCTAAACATTAGTCTTCGCGGAATAAATCTTGTATTACCAATGTCGTGTCTGCTTATCAAGAGTACATGGGCTGATGACCATGCGTGGTCATTTTCAATTTGTGCATTCTTGATAAGATTCATCATCTTCTTCATCGAAAAGTTCCACAGGTAAACTGCTAGCTCACCTTTGAGGACCACGTTTCCCTTTCATTTTCTTTCAATCTCGGTACTAATTCAATCACTGTATCCTTCGCCATTCCATTTGGACGATCATGATCATCTAGACTGTCTGAATAGTGTCATACACTGATTAACGGATGGGTTTATTTCACGCTTGGTCCTTCCCCATTTTTATTTCTCCATTCATTTAATAAAGCTTATTTCTACGATTTTTCCTAACTCTTATCTTGCCTTCTCTTCGAGCGGTCTAAAAGACTGAATTTTTTCATTACACAGTAGTATTAAAGGGTTGCGTCTAGTGCAGAAATTAGAAACACCTGCGCTGTATACGATCTTTGGTTAGATCATACTAGCCCCGCTACACCTCTCAGATCTGCGCACAGTTGCGAGGCTTATATGGAGGAGTAAAACCATGGGGTCGTTCATCGACAGAGCTCTGTTAGTTACAGCAAAGGTC